AAGCGAGTAATTAACGATATTTAAAAGTGAGAGTGGTTTCACTCAGAGCTAAAATTTTTAAAATAGAGTAGAGAACAGAGCAAGACGTCTCATCTCTCGCCTGGACCAATCCTGGATAGATGTGTCATTTCAGCAGAGCCTTCAACACAGGAGGGATGTAGGTGGCCTTACTGTTATGTACAAGGCCAATACTGTCAAAGTACCACACTTGGATCCACTTCGAGGACAGCGTGAAGTACGCTTCTATATCATAAGATGGGCAGCCAGCAGCAACTTCACTCTGGCTGTAACCTTCTCCAGAACATCACACCATCTGATATATATACCCAGGATGACTCGAGTCTGGAACACATTCGTACAGCATTATGATATCAACGAGATAAAGTCAGTTGATCAAATGAAAATGCTGGCCCACAGATGGTCCACACCTGACCCACACCTGGCCCACAGGTGGCTCCAACTTGTAGGTCTCATAACAATAAAAAATGCTTTCAAATGAGTTGATGTAGGTAACAGCTATTAACTTGTCAATAAAGTTAGGAATCCTTTACCTGTAAATAGCTTGTCAAAGCTAGGGATCCTTAACCTAACCTTGTCAAACTCTGCGTAAAAAGAGAGAGAGAGAGAGAGACAGTCAGACAGACAGAGACGAAGGGGAGGAAGAATGAAAAGGTGGAGAATCATTGCTCTCAACCTCGCTCTGGAAGTAAGGCAACTGGAAGGCCATTTGCTCGGACCTCGCTGCCTCCGACTGGAATACTCTTCTCCAGTGTGATGTTGATAACCAAGTGAATGACCAAATTGAACATATCCATAATCTCCAACACAAACACATCCGTCATTTACAGTATGCGACGAAGCCAAGAGATCAGCCTTGGTTTGACTCTCGTTGTGGAGACAAGCCTGTTGGCGGATAGAAGTCCAAGACTGGACTATCTCTAGATGGGAGGCTGATACTGAGAGAAAACTGGCGTCATGTAGAGTGGGTGGCAAACCCTGATGGTCCTTAGTTTAGGACTGGTGTGGAGACTCATTTTACGAAATTATTCTGTATCTAAATGGACAGTTGTGAAATAGCTGACCTGTTTGCTGCCAAGATGCAAATTCTTGATCCAGTTCTTAAGACTATGCTAGTCTTAAGAACTGTGTCAGAGTTGTCAGTGGTGATAAAGAGGCAGGATGAAGTGTATCTTCTTACTTGAGGCAAGAAAAAGACGTTGGGCCCAGATAAGGTAAGCCCAAGATTGCTGAGTAGATGTGCACACTAGCTAGCATCACCTCTAACTCTAACTTGTGTAGATGACCTTTTCTGTGGTAAGAGGCAAATATACACCGTGTCCATAAAAAGGAAGAAAAGCAGAGTGGAAATGGGAAATTACAGACCAGTGTCATTTCTGTCGTCACTGGTAAGATTCTAGAGACAATAATCTCAAGGAAAATAACAGCATTTCTTAAACCTCTCCATTACGTGGCACAAGTTGCTGGATGGAGAGAGAGAAAGACACAGAGTTACCATTTTGCCAAAGGCACGTGTCGATAAGACACATGGCCTATTCGTGTAGTGTGTGTGTACTCACCTATTTGTGGTTGCAGGGGTCGAGTCCTAGCTCCTGGCCCCGCCTCTTCACCGGTTGCTACTAGACCCTCTCTCTCCCCGCTCCATGAGCTTTATCAAACCTCGTCTTAAAACTGTGTATGGTTCCTGCCTCCACTACGTCATTTTCTAGGCTATTCCACTGCCTTACAACTCTATGACTGAAGAAATACTTCCTACTATCTCTCTGACTCATTTGTGTCTTCAACTTCCAATTGTGGCCTCTTGTTTCTGTGTCCCCTCCCTGGAACATCCTGTCCTTGTCCACCTTGTCTATTCCACGCAGTATTTTATATGTCGTTATCATGTCTCCCCTGACCCTCCTGTCCTCCAGTGTCGTCAGGCCGATTTCCCTTAATCTTTCTTCATAGGACATTCCCCTTAGCTCTGGAACTAACCTTGTTGCAAACCTTTGTACTTTCTCTAGTTTCTTGACGTGCTTTATCAAGTGCGGGTTCTAAACAGGTGCTGCATACTCCAGTATGGGCCTGACATACACGGTGTACAGTGTCTTGAATGATTCCTTACTAAGGTGTCGGAATGCTGTTCTCAGGTTTGCCAGGCGCCCATATGCTGCAGCAGTTATCTGATTGATGTGTGCTTCCGGAGACATGCTCGGTGTTATACTCACCCCAAGATCTTTCTCCTTGAGTGAGGTTTGCAGTCTTTGGCCACCTAGCCTATACTCTGTCTGTGGTCTCCTGTGCCCTTCCCCTATCTTCATGACTTTGCATTTGGCAGGATTAAATTCGAGAAGCCATTTGCTGGACCAGGTGTCCAGTCTGTCCAGGTCTCTTTGAAGTCCTGCCTGGTCCTCATCAGATTTAATTCTCCTCATTAACTTCACATCATCTGCAAACAGGGACACTTCTGAGTCTAACCCTTCCGTCATGTCGTTCACATATACCAAAAATAGCACTGGTCCTAGGACCGACCCCTGTGGGACCCCGCTCGTCACAGGTGCCCACTGTGATACATCATTACGTACCATGACTCGTTGTTGCCTCCCTGTCAGGTATTCTCTGATCCATTGCAGTGCCCTTCCTGTTATATGCGCCTGATGCTCTAGCTTCTGCACTAATCTCTTGTGAGGAACTGTGTCAAAGGCCTTCTTGCAGTCCAAGAAGATGCAATCAACCCACCCCTCTCTCTCTTGTCTTACTTCTGTTATTTTATCATAAAACTCCAGAAGGTTTGTGACACAGGATTTGCCTTCCGTGAATCCGTGCTGGTTGGCATTTATACTCCTGTTCCGTTCCAGGTGCTCCACCACTCTCCTCCTGATAATCTTCTCCATAATTTTGCATACTATACACGTCAATGACACAGGTCTATAGTTTAGTGCCTCTTTTCTGTCTCCTTTTTTGAAAATGGGAACTACATTTGCTGTCTTCCATACCTCAGGTAGTTGCCCAGTTTCCAGGGATGTGTTGAAGATTGTGGTAAGTGGTACGCACAACATATCTGCTCCCTCTCTAAGGACCCATGGAGAGATGTTGTCCGGTCCCATTGCCTTTGAGGTATCGATGTCCCTTAGCAGTTTCTTCACCTCCTCCTCATCTGTATGTATGTCGTCCAACACTTGTTGGTGTATTCCTTGTTGGTGTCCCCATCTGGTCTGTCCCCCCAGAGTCCTTCCTGTCTCTACTGTAAATACTTCCTTAAATCTCGTGTTGAGCTCCTCACATACCTCTTGATCGTTTCTTGTGAGTTCCCCACCTTCTTTCCTCAGCCTTATCACCTGGTCCTTGACTGTTGTCTTCTTCCTAATGTGGCTATACAGCAGTTTCGGGTCAGATTTGACTTTCGATGCTATGTCGTTTTCATACTGTCTCTGGGCCTCCCTCCTTATCTGCGCATACTCGTTTCTGGCTCTTCTACTAATCTCCTTGTTTTCCTGGGTCCTATGCCTCCTGTACCTTTTCCATTCTCTGTTGCACTTAGCTTTTGCCTCCCTACACCTTCGGGTAAACCAAGGACTCGTCTTGGTCTTCCTATTATTTCTGTTTCCCTTGGGAACAAAACTTTCCTCTGCCTCCTTGCACTTTGTTGCCACATATTCCATCATCTCGTTTACTGATTTTCCTACCATTTCTCTGTCCCACTGAACCTCCTGCAGGAAGTTTCTCATACCTGTGTAGTCCCCCCTTTTATAGTTTGGCCTGTCCCCTTCAGTTCCTGTTACCTTCTCCACTTGTAACTCTACTATATAGTCAAAACTCAGAACCACATGATCGCTAGCTCCAAGGGGCCTCTCGTAAGTGATGTCCTCGATGTCTGAACTGCTCAGGGTGAACACAAGATCCAGTCTTGCTGGCTCATCCTCCCCTCTCTCTCTGGTTGTGTCCCTGACATGTTGATGCATGAGGTTTTCAAGTACCACATCCATCATCTTTGCTCTCCATGTTTCGGGACCCCCATGTGGCTCCAGGTTTTCCCAGTCGATCTCCCTGTGGTTGAAATCGTGTGTGTGTGTGTGTGTGTGTGTGTGTGTGCATAGCTTCCGATAATGTACAGAGACGTGTGAAAGAAGTAGAGTTCTAGATTTCCATCCCCTGTCTTGTGTATATATATATATATATATATATATATATATATATATATATATATATATATATATATATATATATATATATATATATATATATATATATATATATATTGGCAGTTTGGAGGGATATGTTGTGTATCTTTATATGTGTATGCTTCTAGACTGTTGTATTCTGAGCACCTCTGCAAAAACAGTGATAATGTGCGAGTGTGGTGAAAGTGTTGAATGATGATGAAAGTATTTTCTTTTTGGGGATTTTCTTTCTTTTATGGGTCACCCTGCCTCGGTGGGAGACGGCCGACTTGTTGAAATATATATATATATATATATATATATATATATATATATATATATATATATATATATATATATATATATATATATAATATTATGGTGTGTGTATGTGTACTCCCCTATATGTAGTTGCATGAGCCGATTCACAGCTTCTGGTCTTGTGTACGTGCATATAAAATATTACATGTACGTGTGTTTGTACCATCTCTCTCATCCTGAGCTGCTACATTTTCCTCATTCCTGTGACAGTTTCTCTTCTTTATCCATCTCTTCGTTTTTCATTCTCTGAATTGTTTAATCTACTCCATGTTCACATCCGCCAGGTGTGGAGTCTTCCTCTTGTTTAGTCTCCTCTGGTTGCCAGGACGGTCCCGTGTGGATGAGTAAGAGCCTCCACTATAATCACTATAAATTACTATTATAATCAAAAAGAAGCGCTAAACCCCAAGGGTCATACAGCTTTTTTTTTTTTATAGTTCGTCCAGGTCTCGAACCCCGGACCCCAGTGGTGAGAGGCGCGACTCTCACCACTGGGCTACAACGATGTGTGTATAATCACTATAAAGAAAAAGAATTCAAAATTTTGAGGAGTCTGATGCTCAGATGTAGAGGTGAGCAACCGCGAATTGATCATAGGTTGGCAGGCGGCTCATCTTGACGCCCCGGAGCAGATACTTCATGGAAAGAGGCTTCATCTCTTGGTGATGGTGCCGCAGGTGGAAGGCGGTTTGGCTCTCCCCAGGAAGTGCCAGTTTGGGGTCACAATGGTTCTCCATGTAGTCGACCAAACGATACATGGCGGCGTACCGGCACACTTCCTTCAGGTCGGAGCCCGTAAACCCGTCTGTTATTCTGGCTATTTCTGCCAGGTCCACGTCCTGGGCTAGAGGACAGGCCTTCAGCAAGACCTTTAATATTTCCTGTCGTTCCTTCTCATCGGGTTTAGGAATGTAAAACTGTAGTGGTAGACGGCGGAGGACAGCGGGGTCAACAGCGTCTAGCCTGTTAGTGGCTGCCAGCACTAATACATGAGCGGACTGGTCGGTGAGGAGACCGTCCCACATAGTCAAGAAGACGGCTTTCATAGCCGCATCCACGGTACTCTCATACTCCGTGCGGGTTCCCAACCATGCATCAATCTCGTCTAAGAATATCACAGTCGGCTGGAGCTTGTATGCTAAAGTGAAGACGGCTGTCGCCAACTTTTCGGTCTCACCTAGCCATTTGTTTCTGATACTAGCGAAGTTAACTAGCAAAAACTTGGCGTCTAGCTCCTTTGCCAAGATTTTGGCGATTAGCGTTTTACCGCATCCGGGAGGACCATGGAGAAGGACACCCTTGGGAGGCATAATCTGTGAGTGTAAACCGTGGTATCTGGCGTACACCAGGGGAAGAACCACCTGGTTTTGGATCTCCTGTACCACCTTCCCGCACCCACCGATGTCCACGAACTCCACCTTGAGATCGGAGGGCGTCACTAGCAGGTCCAACAGCACCTGCTCGTGCTCGGAGAAGGCTGGGGAGCCGCCACTCTTGTCATCCTTGCTGCGGCGGGTGATGCACCAGCCTATGATGGCGAGCAAGGCGCCCACCGTCACCACACTGCTCACCCCCACAGCCACACCCATCACCACAGCGTTGCCGAAACCTTTCAGATTCATAATTTTAAAATTAATACCGAAAAATGTTAACTTAAATTATAATAATTTTATATAATGTTATAGTAACAACACTCGAATATTTAAATGTTTAAACTAGAGTGAATATTGGATTGATTGTGGTGACGTGTGTTGGATTGATTGTGGTGACGTGTTGGATTGATTGTGGTGACGTGTGTTGGATTGATTGTGGTGACGTGTGTTGGATTGATTGTGGTGAAGTGTGTTGGATTGATTGTGGTGACGTGTGTTGGATTGATTGTGGTGACGTGTGTTGGATTGATTGTGGTGACGTGTGTTGGATTGATTGTGGTGACGTGTGTTGGATTGATTGTGGTGACGTGTGTTGGATTGATTGTGGTGACGTGTGTTGGATTGATTGTGGTGACGTGTGTTGGATTGATTGTGGTGACGTGTGTTGGATTGATTGTGATGACGTGTGTTGGATTGATTGTGGTGACGTGTGTTGGATTGATTGTGGTGACGTGTGTTGGATTGATTGTGATGTGTGTTGGATTGTGATGTGTGTTGGATTGATTGTGATGTGTGTTGGATTGATTGTGGTGATGAGTGTTGGATTGATTGTGGTGACGTGTGTTGGATTGATTGTGGTGACGTGTGTTGGATTGATTGTGGTGACGTGTGTTGGATTGATTGTGATGTGTGTTGGATTGTGATGTGTGTTGGATTGATTGTGATGTGTGTTGGATTGATTGTGGTGATGAGTGTTGGATTGATTGTGGTGACGTGTGTTGGATCGATTGTGGTGACGTGTGTTGGATTGATTGTGGTGACGTGTGTTGGATTGATTGTGGTGACGTGTGTTGGATTGATTGTGGTGACGTGTGTTGGATTGATTGTGATGTGTGTTGGATTGTGATGTGTGTTGGATTGATTGTGATGTGTGTTGGATTGTGATGTGTGTTGGATTGATTGTGGTGTTATGTTTTTGATTGATTACTGCCATATTTACGAGAGAATGATAAATCCGTAGGGGTCATTCACCGATGGGAAATGGAAGAGATGGTAATCGAATTTGATCCGAGGAGGAGGAGGAGGATAGTTCCAGTTGTTTGGACCGGGAGCTCTTAAGCATCAAGACATTGATGCGTAAAGCTTATTGATCCAAGGAATTTAAGCTCCCGTCCCCTTCCTAGGATCAAAATTGATTGTCCGCATTCTCCGGGCTCTGCATAACCTCAACGAGTTTAGCGCATCCTCATGCAAAGCGCTAAACCAGTATGGGTCATTCAGGACGATGTGTGTTGGAGGCTTGATCCTCCACCCTCTGACTATACACAGTACGTATAGTATAGTCAGTATACTATACTATAGATACAGTATACTGACTAAAAGTATACACCCACAGATGTATACTTTTCCTTGTATATACATAAAAAGGGTAAATATTCATTTTTGTAGATAAATGGGTTAGAGAACCGACAAGTTGATAAATTAGACACACAGCGGCTTCATCAGTCCTATACAAAGAGGAACTGTGAAGATCAGAAGGAGTTTGAGGTAATCCGTCCCTCAGCCTGGAGTCGATATATATATGGATGGACCGAGGACATTGACTCCAGGCTGAGGGACTGATTACTTCCAGTTCCTTCTGATCTTCATCAGTCCTATACAAAGAGGAACTGTGAAGATCAGAAGGAGTTTGAGGTAATCCGTCCCTCAGCCTGGAGTCGATATATATATGGATGGACCGAGGACATTGACTCCAGGCTGAGGGACTGATTACTTCCAATTCCTTCTGATGCTCACAATTATTCATTGTATTGGATTGATGAAGCCACTGTGTGGCGAAACGTTTCCTCAGTAAAGATACCCAAGTGTTGTACATGTGTCTACCATTCTGCCTTGTAGGGTTGTGCAAGAAAGGTATAAAATACCGACAATATGAAAGTTAAGACACATGTGCAACATCTGGATATCTTTATTGTAGACGTTTCGCCATCCAGTGGCTTTATCAATACAGATTCTAGGACATAATAGGAAGACAGTAGAACTATATACAAAAGATGAGGTAATCAGTCCCTCGGCCTTGGAGTTAGTGTTCACAGCATCGTGGTGGAGGAGAATCTGGAGCAAAGACAAGAAGACTGGCGGTTATATAGGCGTCAGTGGATATGGACGGGCAGCAGACGAGGGCAGTCACTGGTAGGCGGGATTCCCCAGTGGAAGTAGGTCCTTCCCAAAGAGATGGATTAGTTGCAGCAGCCGTGAAGAAGGTCTTGTAGATGTAGGGTTATTGAAGCTAAAACCTTGGGTAGGTTAAAACTATGTATGAACATTAAAATGGTATAAAATACCGACAGATTGTTAGGTAAGACACATATGATACCTAACTGTTGCATATGTGTCTTACCTAACAAAACTATGTATGGATCCTGCCTCCACTACTTGTTCCACTTCCTGTGTGTGTGTGTGTGTGTGTACTCGCCTAATTCACCTAATTGTACTCACCTAATTGTGGTTGCAGGGGTCGAGACTCGGCTCCTGGCCCGCCTCTTCAGTGATTGCTACTAGATTCTCTCTCTCCCTGCTCCATGAGGTTTATCATACCTCATCTTAAAGCTATGTATGGTTCCTGCCTCCACTGTGTGTGTGTGTGTGTACTCACCTAGTCTGGTGTGCCTTGCGGCACTGTTTCATTGGTACTGATTTCTCAGTTTTCTTCACTGGTTCTCACTCACTGAGTGAGAGCAATTAGGTCAGTTGAGGGAGTTCGAGTCTCTCAGGTATCGTAGCATTGTGTGTGTGTGTGTGTGTGTGTGTGTGTGTGTGTCAGTGTGTTTTTTTGTATGTACTCACCTGTCTATGGTTGCAGGGGTCGAGTCAGAGATTCAGGTCCCACCTCTTGACTAGTCGCTACTAGATGTATATAAGAACATAAGAATAGAGGAACACTGCAGAAGGCCTACTGGCCCATACAGGGCAGGTCCATACGTGTAGAGTGGAAAGAGAGTAGAGAGAAAGAGATAGAGAGGGAGAGAGAGAGAGAGAGAGAGAGAGAGAGAGAGAGTAGGCGGCCTGATGCACCAGTCGGTGCTATACTGCAGATATGAGAAAGTTAGTGAACAGTTACCGGGAACAGCAACTGTGAGTGAAATTTGACTTGGAGAGGAGTGATGCAGAGGCACGTGCAGCAGTGTAGCAAGTGTTTGGAAGTCAACCCTGGGTGTGGAGAGGAAGTCAACCCCGGGGGGGTGGAAGTCAACCCCGGGGGTGGTGTGGAAGTCAACCCCTAGGAGTGGTTTGTAGATGAATGGTTCAGAGAACCGACATGTTGATAAATTAGACACATGTGCAACTCTTGGGTATCTTTATTGAGGAAACGTTTCGCCACACAGTGGCTTCATCAGTCCATACATGTCGGTTCTCTGAACCATTCATCTACAAATCTGTCAGACACTGCAACTTCTTGGGATCTTAATACTTAGGAATTCTTCGCTTGCCTAATTCTTGGGCACGACCTACTTCAACACTGAACAAATGTGACACCACCTATGACTGCTGCACCTCTCCTGCCATACGGTTTATAAGCTGCTTCTCCGCTCATCTGCCGTATTCTACTCAAGATTGATAGACTGAACACATCGACTCAAGGTTGAGGGACTGATTACCTCATTCTCCTCCTGTTCTTCAAGTTTCTCCTATGTATGGACTGATGAAGCCACTGTGTGGCGAAACGTTTCCTCAATAAAGATACCCAAGAGTTGCACATGTGTCTAATTTATCCCCAGGAGTGGTGTGGAAGTCAACCTCGGGAGGGGGGGTGGAAGTCAGCACAGGGTGGGGTGGAAGTCAACTCAGGGTGGAGTGGAATTCAACCCGGGTGGTGGTGGTGGTGTGGAAGTCAACCCAGGGTGGGGTGGAATTCAACTCGGGTGGTGGTGTGGAAGTCAACCCAGGGTGTGTGTGGAAGTCGACCCCGGCGGTGGTGTGGAAATCAACGCCGGGGGTGGTGTGGAAGTCAACCCTGGAGGTGGTGAGGAAGTCAACTCCGGGGGTGGTGTGGAAGTCAACCCCAGGGGTGGTGTGGAAGTCAACCCCCGGTGGTGGTGTGGGAGTCAACCCAGGGGTGGTGTGGGAGTCAACCCAGGGGTGGTGTGGGAGTCAACCCAGGGGTGGTGTGGGAGTCAACCCAGGGGTGGTGTGGGAGTCAACCCAGGGGTGGTGTGGAAGTCAACTGGGTTGTGGTGTGGAAGCCAATCCAGCTCATAAGAACATAAGGCAAGCAGGAAGGAGCACTACAGCAGGCCTACGGGCCCATGCTAGGCAGGTCGTTCTTAAACCCAAATCCAAACTCACACCCACTCATGTATCTGTCTAACCTATCTTTTTAAGCTCCGTAAGGTTTTAGCTTCAATAACTCTACTCGGGAGTTTGTTCCATTCATCACTAACTCTATTACCAAACCAATGACTTCTGTGGCCCGGTGGCCTGGTGGCTAAAACTCCCGCTTCACACACGGAGGGCCCGGGTTCGATTCCCGGCGGGTGGAAACATTTCGACACGTTTCCTTACACCTGTTGTCCTGTTCACCTAGCAGCAAATAGGTACCTGCGTATTAGTCGACTGGTGTGGGTCGCATCCTGGGGGACAAGATTAAGGACCCCAATGGAAATAAGTTAGACAGTCCTCGATGACGCACTGACTTTCTTGGGTTATCCTGGGTGGCTAACCCTCCGGGGTTAAAAATCCGAACGAAATCTTATCTTACCGAGCTTAAGCCTGTTCAAAAGTCGATAGTTTGGCATGTACGAAATGACTTCACTTCTATCATAATTGGTATTCTGGGTTAGGTTAACTAACCTCCAATAACCTATATTTACGTATAATTAACTAACAATCAGATAACACAATCGAATCAATGATTTGACTGCTTCGAATCATCCTTTGTGGATGATACAGTGATAAGCATTAAGGTTGTTATGTGAGGGATCTACACTCTCAGTGATTGAATTTTACAGAGAGATCTGGACAGGTTGCAGGCCTGGTCCAGAAACTGGCTCTTGGAGTTCAACACCAAGTTCAAAATTATGATTGGGGAAGGGCA